CACTTGCACTTCTTAAAGATTCATTTGGTTGAATTGTATATATATTTGGGTGGGGGGGCAACTGTATTGCTTTCTGAAAGGCCCATTTGGTTGAATTGTATATATATTTGGGTGGGGGTGCAACTGTATTGCTTTCTTAAAGGCCCATTTTGTTGAATTGTATATATATTGGGGTTTGGGGTGCAACTGTATTCTATTCTTAAAGATTCATTTGGTTGAATTGTATATATATTTTAGTCTGCGTGACTTGCTTTTAAAAGCCTTGTTTTGTAATATTCATTTTTGTTATAAAGAGGGTTTTATTTTTCCTTGTTACTTGTTTCATTTGTTTAAAAAGAGTTCTGTTTTTAACTACTAAGGCTTTATCTGATTTTCTAGTATATTATTTTGCATTATTATAGTTATTAAAGAATTTCATTTTATTGTGATTCGAAGTTAAAGGGTTTAATTTGTTTTTCATATATATATATATCATTTTGTGCTGTATTACACGTCATTTTCAAGCATAATTAAATATTTTTAACGTATGTTACGTTTGCCATTGAAGGGCCTTAGTCCTTCATGCCACTTTTGCGTTTTATGTTAGACTGCCCTTTCTAATGGTGGCAGGTGATCTGTGTTTAAGGGTATTATTATTATTTTAGTTTCGTAGTCTCTTAGACTATTTTAGTTTCGTATTCCTCTCAAGAGGAATACGTAACGTTGTTAATTTTTTTACTATGTCACTTTTTGTTAACAGGTTTTGTGTAAATGTGTGAACTCGCGTATTGCTTTTCTATGTTAAAAGCCATCGTTATGTATTTCTTTGATAAAAAAACATGTTTTGTATTGTATTCAGTTTTGAAGTGTTGAATGGTAAGAGGTTTTCATGTAATATTTAATTTTAATATTAACATGTTTCAAACAAATTTGTTGTTGTTGTTATTATATAACGAATCAACTTGTATTTTATTATATAGTTAAAGAGGTTTTATTTTAAATAGTAGTTGAGATTTAATTATTCGTTAGATGGTCGTGTCGTCTATGTAGTATGTACAACAAAATAAAGTTAATTTTCATCTTGATTATTTCACGTGTGTAAAGTTCATACGGTTCTCTAGGTTTAGTTGTATCTATACTGTTACGTCTCTGTTCATTTGTTAATTTCCCGTAGAAATTCTATCCGAGAAACTTCAGCGATACAAGTCCTTTCTTAATTAAAACTAGTTTATTCTTTCTCAATACAATTTTGCAAAACACAGAATTTCCACAGTCAATAAGTTTGCAATCTCGATAACAAAAAAAACACACTTTATATTACCGTCACTACCGCTCGCTTGACTCTATTAGCTGTCTCTATATGTATCTATCTGCAATTATATCTTCGCTTTATTTGCCGGGCTTATATACTAAAAAAGAGGGCGCCTGGAACAGACAAGAGTTGCCAGAAAAAGTCATGATCCTTCT